CTCTGGTTATCAAACAAACTTAGTAGTGAACCTTGTAGGTGTCCTAATGCACCCTAAATCATTAGGTGGCGACTCTTCAAATGCAAAACCCAGAATCTCCTCTTTGATGGCTTCAGAATCATTTAGCCTGTTTCGAGCAATAGAAGTAAGTTCCAAAATTTGCTTTCTCTTGTTCCTTTCTTTCATAACAGTTGTAAAGTACTTTGTATTAGAATCTCCTAGTTTTATCCATCTTGCTCTAGCTTTTTGTTTCAAGGCTCCTTCTTCTAACAAGTCCCACTTCTCCAGATTTTGTATCAACCCCTTCTCTTCTAACAGTAGTTTATCAGAGCAATTAGTAGTTATGCTTCGTTGGACCCTAGCAAGATCAATTCTGGCTTTCTCAATTTTCTTTCTTATGAATTTGAACTCTTCAACATTTAGTTTCCTAAGCACTGACCTAAGTGTTTTCAGTTTCATCCAGATATTCTGCATACTCTTGCTATGTAATCTCTGTTGCCATACTTGTTGATCAATGCTTTAAAAACTCTCATGCTCAGCCCACACATTGAAGAATTTAAAAGGAGTTTTCCTATTTTCTTGGCTAACAGTTAAACTTAGGCTCATAGGAGCATGGTCAGAGATGAAAGGAACATCATAAATGGTAGCTACATGTCCCCATTGCATCATCCACTCATAATTGCCAAATAGTCTATCAATTCTGCTCCATATTCTGTCACTCCCAGCTTGCTTATTAGACCACATATAGTATTCTCCCTCCCATGCCAATTCACTAAGGCCCAAGTCCTGGACACACTTATTGAAGTCTTGAATTTCAGCCATGCTGATTGGATTTCCCTGCATTCTATCTTGTAGTTGTAGTACAGAGTTAAAATCTCCTCAAATTAGCCATGGTGTGGAGATCATTTGCCCTATCTCTGTTAAACTTCCCATAATTTCTTCCTTTGCTCCATAGAGTTGAAACCATAAACTACTGACAATATGCAATCTTGACCCCCCATAATACCTTCAACAGAGCAATGTATAACTTGTACCTCTTCTTTAAATAAAGTAACTGAGTAGTAGTTTGAATCCCATATCACCAAAATTCTTCCATTCACTGCATCATTATAGTTAGTAAGTATCTCCCAGCCAGGGGCAATGTGGCAGCTTACTCTCTTTACTTTATGCTCTTTAACTCTTGTTTCAATGATACCTACGAGCTTAATATTTTCTTATCTTCAGATAATTTTTGAGTTCTTTTCGCTGCTCTACCTCGGGCCATCGACATCATACGCTCTACTGAAATGGATTTCGTACCACTTATTGTTACCCCTGACATTCCACAATAACCAGTTCATTGTTGGTGTTAGTGCCCCCACCTCTGTCATGGGGTAGAGGAAAGCTTCCATTGGTACCAGTTTGTTACACTTTTGGAGCCACTCCTGCTAGTAGTAGGTGTTAATATAGGAAAGTTCTCTAGGCTCAACTCTAGGCTATCTTGCTTTTTGCCTTTGTCCACTGTGTTTTATATTGTGTTCCCCACTCGCATTGCAAGTTGCCTATGAGTATGCTCCTAAGTTACCACTAGCAGGCAAGGTTGGACTTTCTCCTGTATTGCATCAGTTTGGGTCTGGCTTGTTCTGTTGACAACTTCATTCATCACACCTTCTTTGTGACTAGCTTCAGGTATCGCAGGCCCCTTAGTTCTCCATTCATATGTAACTTTTTTGGTTTCTCTTCTTCTCTTAGGTTTCTCTCCCTACTGCTCTCTAGGACCTTGTTGATTGTGGCATACATGGCCAATGGTCTGACATTTATCACAATAATTTGGCTTCCGTTCATATACCAGTTCTTGCTGAAATTTCCTGCCTCTAGGATTCAGAACAGTAATCTCTGCAGGCAAAGTTTTTGTAACATTGACTTCAATTAGCATTCTTGCATAGGAGATTCTTGTTTGTTTGGTGGTGCACTCATCAGCAAATAGAGGTTTCCCAATTGCACCAGCAATTTTGCTCAGTGCTTTACTGCCCCAGCAACTCATGGGTAGTTTAGGGAAGATTACCCATAGAGGTATATCAGTGAGTAACTCTTTGCTTAAGTCAAACTCTGGTGTCCATGGCTTGAGAATTATTGGCCTATTTCTGGTAGTGTGAGGACCAGGATAGAAGACTTTGTGCATGTCTACTAATGACTGAAACTTGATCACATAATAACCTTCATCGTGAAGGAATAGGTCTGTTTCAGCAATATCAATCCAATGTTGAGCAATATAACGCTTCATAACATTATATCCGGGGTTATCTCCAATGATGTAGGCTATTAATGCAACTCTCCATTTCTACTCTTCCTCCTCCACATCTTGAGGATCTAATTTACCACTAATTGTCCATCCACAATCTGAGGTGGAATATATCTGAGGGTCATTCCATGAGTGGTTGCACGGTTCTGCTGAAACAAATTGGCCCATGCTTGTGGTTCAGCTCTGCGATTTGCAGGGTTCACAGCTTTAGGGCTCTCCATCGGATTTTAACTCACGGTAGTGGCTATAGGGGTCTCAATTTTGTCTGTGGCTTGTTCCTTACTCATTTCCCCTTTCATTTGTAAATCATTAGGGTTAGGCAGAGTTACTATTTTATTGGTTTTCTCACCAACCCTAGGAGTGACAGTCTTACCAGTTTTCTCAATTAGTAAAGGCGTACTAAAAGTCAATTTCCTGCTCACCTCAGAGTTAATTGAATAAGATGCTTCATCATTCCCAGACATCACTATCCCTTGTTGTTCCGGTGTCTTCAATTCTTGTGTTTGAGCTTGAATTACCTTCCCAGTTTTTGCACTACTGCTTACTGAACTTCCAAATGTAAGAATCGGTGTTTTCTTCGGCCTTCCTCGTCCTCGATCTCGCCCCCCTTCTCATGGCAGACATGCCAACGTACGTTAGCTAACGTGCACTGTGAGCATGAGAGAGAGCTCTTTGATTTCCATGACCCTTTTGCCATAACACCTTACATGTAAAAGAATGTTACATTTGTAAAGAGCTATTTTCACTACCATCTATGAATTTATGGAGTGAGTCAACTTTTGATTTATCAAGATTTATTTCTAGGCCACTCTTTCAAGACACGATCTGATGTGAAATTGAAAACTAAACCATGTAATTTTGGAAAATTGCTCAAAATATACGACAGTTGATCTACACTTTTTATAAATTATAAGAAAAAAGGACTATATTTTCATAGATGTTCATGTACATATTCTAGTAATTTCTTCCAATACAATAAGCTAGAAAAGGAATAAATGATGTCACACTAGTGACATGATTTTGATATGAATTGTAGTCATTTTCCTAATAAGCACAAATTTGCATATAATTTAAAATGCGCCAAATAAGGAGCCCGATTCTCAAACTTTCTCGACTTAAATACTACATTAATTTTTGTCTACACTTGATTTAATTCGTGATATCACTGGATTATAGTAATTAAAGCGCTTGTTGGCCTAAGTGAAGTTTGTTTTGATGATTGACAAAGGAACTCAAGCATGAACCAGATCCATACACAGTGTACACAAATCGGGCAGATTCGAGCACAAGGGATGCAACTGAGAAGATAAGCTTAAGTGGTTATATATGATATCTCCTAAACGAAAAGGCTGCATAAGTGATAAGGAGAAGGAATCCTTACTCGAAGAGAACTCTATCCAAGAAAAGGGAGGAGTTAGAAGTTGAAGATAACCAGAACTCTTCCACCAAGGAAGAGTATCGCATTAGAACTCTAGTTTTTTCCTATTCTACTAACTCTATATAATTCAGGATGTTCTCATTTTACAAGGACGCATAAATGCTGAGGTTAAACGAGAGTTGAGAGCAAAATAGCAAGGCATTTTGCAAGCAATTCCTGTGTGATTCAAGTGTGCGAACGTGAATCTACATGAACTAGATAGAAGAACCAGCTCCATGTATCTGTCTTTTATTCTAGTTCAATTGTAGTAGAGCTTTCGAGTTGTCCTTTCAGATTTATCTAGAAGCATTTGTACTAGGTACTCTGAGTGTTGTATTCATGTTAGAGTTAACTTGAACTTGTCGCAACATCTAAAGGCTGGTTGCCACAAAGGGTTAGAAGTAATCCTTAGGTTTACAAAGAGTTTTGTAAATGCTGTTTTGGCTCAGTGATTTAGTAAAGTGTTGGGAAAAATGCTACTGGGTAGTAGGTCGTGGTTGTTTCACTTTTTGAGCCGGGTGTTTTCCACGTAAAAATATTTATGTTCTTTACTTTCTGCATTTATTATTCCGCAACAGCAGTACAAGGAACACATAGAAGAATCAGGTCCTTCTATAATCTGTGCATGCAAAAAATTGGACACCACACAAATCACCCCCTCTTGCGTGGTATTGAAGTATAAAACAACAATTGGTATCAGAGCATGTTATCCTTGAAGAGGATAGCACCTTAGGAGAAGATCATGAGTGCACCACCTGAAAATTGAGAAGGGCAATCCACTGCTAGGCCACCACTCTTTAATGGTCAGTATTACTCTTTGTGGAAGAACGAAATGAGAGATCATATTCAAGGAGAAGACTATGAGCTATGGAACATTGTCATTGATGGTCCACTGGCTACCTTGAAGAAAAATGTTGAAAGAGTAGATATGCCAAAGACAAGAGCGGATTGCACTGCTGAGGACTTGAAGAAGTGGGAGAAGAATGCAAAAGCCAAGAAATGGCTTGTTTGTGGACTTGGTCCAGATGAGTACAGTAGAATCCAAGGTTGTTCCACTGCTAAGAAAATTTGGGACACACTGCAAGTGGCCCATGAAGGAACAACTCAGGTGAAGAGATCTAGAGGAACTCTACTGTACTCTCAGTATGGGAACTTTGCTATGAAGGATGGAGAAACCATTCAAGAGATGTACACAAGGTTCACTACTGATGAATGAGCTAAAATCTTTTGGAAGGATTATTCCTGAAGAAGAAAGAGTTGAGAAGATACTCACTAGGGTCTTGCCTTTCACTTGGGAGAGCAAGATCACTGCCATACATGAATCAAATAATATTGCCACTCTCCCACTAGATGCATTGATTGAAAATCTCACTGCATATGAACTTAGGAGACAAACCATGAAAATGGATGTACCTAAGAAGGAAATGAGCTTGACACTCAGAATCACTGAAGGTTCTGATCTGGAAGAGGATGAAATGGCTATGATCACCAAAGACTTCAAGAAGTACCTGAGGAAAGGAAAGGGTTCTTCAAGAAGTGGAAGCAACAGCAAGGCAAAATCTCCTGAGCGCAAACCAACGATGGCTGCTACAAGTGTGGAAAGACTGATCACCACATCAAAAACTATCCTTTGTGGGAAATTAAATGGAAGAAGAAGAGAGCTGAACGAAGGAATAGGAAGAAGGAACATGTTCAACCCAAGAAAAGCAACAATAAAGGATTAACCAAGGTTATGGTCACTGCTTGGGGAGAAAGCTCAGATGATGATGAACGAGCACTTATGGTCATTGGAGAATCTGATTAAGAAACTGAGGTATGTGTCTTTCATCTAAAAGACAAAATTAAATTTTTGTCTAAAGAAAGATTATCTGAGTTGCTACTAGATCTAATTGATGAATCTGAGGATTTAAATAATGAAAAGGAACAATTGTCAAAAGAATGTGTGATTTTGAAAGCTAAGTGCAAAAACCTAAAACTTAGGGCTTGTGAAATTGAAAGTGAAAATACTACGTTGAAGAACCAGGTTCATGTACTTGACACAACAATTTTAGAGCTTAGGTCTAAAAATCTAAAATTGAAATTAGGAATAGGAGAAAAGACAGTTGATCACACACAACTCACTTTAGAAGAAAATGTAGGAAAAATAAAAGATGAGTTGTATAAGAGAGATGAACAGGTAAGAATCCTAAAGGAGGATCTAAGCAAGGTCAAGCATAAGCTAGATAGAACTTCTAAATAGAACAGGTCCTCTGATGCACTTTCATGGCTACGAGAACACCATAGTAGCAACAGAAGAGGACTTGGCTTTGGGAACTCTGCACCTAAGTGGGACCCTAAAAGCAAATACCTCACACTTCCTGAGAACAAGATTTGCACACATTGTGGTAACACTGGTCACTATAAGAGTGAATGCGTTGCAAAAGGAAAGGCAAGTCAAACGAACAAAGATTTTGTTCAAGGGAAAAATAGGCTGCTAAGTTGGACTAAAAAGAATTTGATTCATCCTTTTGCCTATAGAAAGGGACCCAAACTAGTTGGGTTCCTAAGACTAACACATGATTTCTTTTTGCAGGTCCAAGTGAGGGGGATCAACCAAATATGGTACATGGATAGTGGCTGTTCAAAGCATATGACAGGAAGCAAGAATCAGTTCCTTTCACTTGAAGACCTTAAAGGAGGTAATATCTCATTGTAAATGGAAAGAAAGGTGAGATCATTGGGGTTGGAAAGGTAGGTGAGACTGATTCTCACTCTATTGAGAATGTCTACTTGATAGATGGACTTAAGTACAATCTAATAAGTGTATCACAATTGTGTGATAGAGGTAATATGGTAGCATTCACCTCTACAAAATGCTTTGTGATTAATCTTCCACTAACAAGATAATTTTACAGGGAAAAAGAGTGAACAACATATATGTTGTGGATCTGTCTACAGTTTCAGATAATGAACTCACTTACTTAAGTGTGTTGGATAATGATCCCCTCATTTGGCACAAAAGGCTTGGACAAGCCAGTCTGAGGAAACTCAACAAACTAGTCTCTAAGGACTTAGTGATAGGGCTACCTAACAATAAGTTCATGGAAGATAAAGTTTGTGAGGCTTGTGCAAGGGGGAAGCAGGTAGATCCTCTATCAAAAGCAAAAAAATGGTAAGCACTACCAGGACGATGGAACGGGTCCATATGGATCTTTATGGACCAATGAGAATATTAAGTAGAGGTGGTAAGAGATATGTTATGGTGCTTGTTGATGACTACTCTAGGTTTACTTGGATATTGTTTTTAACATCTAAAGATGAAGCATTTGACATGTTTGCTTCTTTTGTTAGAAAAACTCAGAAACAACTAGGTAATCTATCATGCCCTGACCTCGAGGAGTGTCGCTCCCCCTTTTTCCTCGCGGAGTCCGGATTTTGACATTTTGGGACAACTCCTTTCCTTTTGAAATTGGGTATGAGATTTGAAGAGTCGCCACCTAACGGATTAAGGTGCGTTAGGGCACCTAGAACAATTAACTCATGAAACCAGTTTACATTACCAGAGATTGAGTAGGGCTCGAAATTACCTTGAGGGGAAGGTGTTAGGCACCCCTCGAGGTCCACAACGGTGGGTCCTGGCCAAACTCAATTTAAGCGAATTAGTCTTTAAGGAAATAAAGCAGTTTAAACAGATAGAGATTATTTTAAAAGGGGTCCTAAGTTTATTAGCCTATAGGATCACTTCCATGCAATACTCGGTAACCTTCCCCAAATTGAGGTGTTACGCGTAGCATTAGCGCACAAGTCATCATCTCCTTTACTACA